TGGTGCTACAAGTCCTACAATGCACAGGACAGCCCCAAGACCAAGAATTATCCAGCCCAAAACGTTAGTAGGACAGAGATGAGAAATCCTGGTACAGTGGTTAAGAGTTGAAAATTATGGGAGACTAGACTACCTTAATTCAAATCCAACTCCACTACTTACTATGTGAATGACCTCAAGCAAGTTGACTTCTGAGCCTCAGTTTCCTCATTTCAAACTAAGGGAGACAGTACCTAACTCATTGGAATACAATGAGAATTATGTAGGAATATGTGCTTAAACTTAAAAAAAAAAAAAAAAGGCCTGTAGCAAGTTAAAGTACAAAAGTAACATGCAATCATCCCTTTTATGTGTACTCCTTTTCAAATATTAACAGACATCCTCCACCTTCTATTTAGCATCACCCTCTATCAAGTAACAAATTTAACTGCTCTAATCACATTATCTAATATAATCTCCTGTATTTACATTCTGCTGCTTTAATAAATTAACCATATATTGTCTTCTGAAAGAAATATAAAAAAGTTATTTTACACTGCCTTTAGTATATCCATGAGTTTGCAATATGGAGCATTAAAACTAACCCTTTTGGCCGGGCGTGGTGGCTCACGCCTGTAATCCCAGCACTTTGGGAGGCCGAGGCGGGCGGATCACAAGGTCAGGAGATCGAGACCATGGTGAAACCCCGTCTCTACTAAAAATAGAAAAAATTAGCCGGGCGCAGGGGCGAGCGCCTGTAGTCCCAGCTACTCGGGAGGCTGAGGCAGGAGAATGGCGTGAACCCGGGAGGCGGAGCTTGCAGTGAGCCGAGATTGTGCCACTGCACTCCAGCCTGGGCGACAGAGCGAGACTCCGTCTCAAAAAAAAAAAAAAAAAAAAAAAAAAAAAACTAACCCTTTTGTAGTCTTCCTTCTTTTACACTATCATCAAACCTACAAAATATATTTTCTTTGGTCCCAGAACAAGCATGGGTCACTTGGATAATCACAGTACAAGAGCTATTACATAATTAAGTCTGATCCCATTTTAGAATTGAAGAAATTGAGGCTCAGAGCTTGCCAACTTGTCCAACTGCACAATTAACTGCAGAAACCAGAACTTGATCAATTCCCTGATTAAAAAGTAACAGAAATATGTAGAAGCATCCTCTCCTTTTGAATCCCAAACAGGGCAATCAACAGAAAATTAACCTTGAATAGTATTAACAGTGATTATTGTTCTCACATTCGACAACAATTACCCCTCTTCTAGGAAATCAATGACTAACTTTTTAGGAGCTAACTTCAATTCTTACCCAACTGTTTCCTTCAGTCTTAAGCAGATACCTATTTACAGATTCTCTAAAAAGGTCTCCCTAATTAGTATAACTCATTGCACATCTACTTGTTTTCTTATCACACTGTTATAATTTTAATACTCATTCCATTTTCAAAATCCATCCATGGCACATGAAATTTTGGGGGTGGCAACGGGCACTACTGGTGAAGAAACAGTCTATCATGAATAGAGATTTAGTATTTCCTACCTCTCAAGAGAAAAAACTCTCTACCCTTTAACCAAACATATGAAGATGTTTGGACGGCTAATATTTAAGACATTTTCAAAAGAACATTCTATAAAATACGTAGAAAATATGCTAGATAGGCCGGGCGTCGTGGCTCAGTAATCCCAGCACTTTGGGAGGCAGAGGCGGGCGGATCACCTGAGGTCAGGAGTTCAAGACCAGCCTGGTCAATATGACGAAACATAACCTCTCCAAAAAAAAAAATACAAAAATTACCAGGCATGGTGGTGCATGCCTGTAACCCAGCTATTCAGGAGGCTGAGGCAGAAGAATCCCATGAACCCAGGAGGTGGAGGTTGCAGTGAGCTGAAAGAGTGCCACTGCACTCTAGCCTTAGCGACAAAACGAGACTCCGTCTCCCAAAACAAAACAAAAAAATGCTACACAGATTTTTCATTTTGCCAATTTACCAAAATTCCACTTATTTACAATTCTGATTATTTTCACAAATATGGTCAATAGTAAGAGTTCAATAAATACTTTTTTAGATCATTGGTGTTTCCCTATGACTCAAAGCGTTCAAGTCTTCTTTAAAGGGATATTATGCATTTGTTTAACAAGTCTGATCAACACCTGTTATTTTCCAATTAGTGTTAACAATATTAAAATTTATACAATTTTTAAGTATACAAATTTCACTCACATTTGATTTTTTGCTGCTTGCCTCTGAGCTTTTCTTTCTTTCCTTTTCTGATCTGGTGGCTTGGCAAAAACAATTTCAATATTTTCTCCCTCCAAGTCTTTGCCATTCATTTCTTCCATAGCCTTAAAAAATTAAATAGTCAATATAAAAATAGGACTTCCAGACAATTATGATTCATTTAAAGCTAGAAAATCAATTATCATTAATGCGGGAAGGACAACAGAAAGCCCCCTGTAGACAGTCAGATAATTTTATATAAAGATGCAGATCTTCAACTATTTTTCATTTTTACTTAGAAAACTGCCAAGCTCACTAAAACCAAAAGGTTTTAGTTTGAGTGGATTCCATGGACTTCCAAGTTTCCTCCAATTTGTAAAACTATTTTAAGATTCTAAGATGACTAGAAGTTGTTAGTCTGATTTAGATGCCTATAATTCCACCATATTTACCTTGACAGCACCATCTCGTTCATCAAAATGAATGAATGCATAATCTTTTAACTTCTTCACTCGTTCCAGTTTCCCAAACTGACTAAATGCCTTTTCTAAAATCTCTTCTGTTACAGTATTGGCAAGGTTGCGTACAAACAGCACTTTTACCTAGGGGGAAGAAAAAAAAACCCCGTATTATTTCCAAAGAGTTCAATTTCTAAGATGCCACCACCCTACCACCCTATCCTACAAAGTTAACTTAAATCACAATCCATTAGAAGAACGTCAGAATACAAAAAAAAAAAAAAGTTTTCAACTCCTTGGGTAAATATCAAGGAGCAGAATTGCTAGATCATGTTGAAAGACCTGAAATAGATGCTTTGCAAAAAAAGATACACAGATGGCAAAGAATCTCATGAAGATGCTCAATATAATCTGTCATTCGGGAACTGCAAGTTGAAACTATTAGTATGGCCAAAATCCAACACACTATAAATGCAGGTAAGAATGTAGAGCAACAGAAACTCTCATTCACTGCTGGTGGGAATGCAAAATGGTATAGCCCTTTTGAAAGACAGTTTGGCGATTTCTTACAAAACTAAACACACACTTTCATATGACCCAGCAATCCTGCTCCTTATTTACCCAGAGTTGAAAACTTACATGCACACAAAAACTTACACAGGGATGTTTACAGTAAGCTTTATTTGTAATTGCCAAAAATTTGCCAGACGCAGTGGCTCCTGCCTGTAATCCCAGCAGTTTGGGAGGCTGAGGCGGGTGGATCACCTGAGGTCAGGAGCTCGAGACCAGCCTGGCCAACATAGTGAAACCCTGTCTCTACAAAAATACAAAAATTTGTTGGGTGCGAAGGCACGTGCCTATAGTTCCAGCTATTCAGGAGGCTGAAGCATAAGAAATGCTTTAACCCAGGAAGCAGAGGTTGCAGTAAGCTGAGATCGTGCCACTGCACTCCAGCCTGGGTGACAGAGAGAGACTCTGTCTCAAAAGTGAAAAAAAAAATTTTTCCAAAAATTGGAAGAAACCAAGATGTCCTTAAGTGGGGGAATGGACAATTGTGGCACGTACAGAAGGAATATGATAACTGATATAAAGAAGTAAGTAAAAAGCCACAAAATGACACAGAAGAACTTTAAATATGTATTACTAAGAGAAAGAAGACAATGTGAAGGTTACATAATGTATGGTCCAACTATGTAACATTCTGAGAAGGCAAAACTAGGGAGACAGTGACTGACAGTGGTTGAATGGGGAGGGATGACTAAGCACAGGACAGAGGAATTTTAGGGCAGTGAAACTATTCTGTATAATACTATGATGGAAACACGGTTATACATTTCTCCAAACCCACAGAACATACATCTGGAGTGAGACCTCATGTACTCTATAGACTTTGGGTGATCAATCTATGTCCATCAATTTTAAAAAACATACTATTCCAGTGCAGGATACTAGCAGTGAGGAAGGCTGTGCCTGTGTAGGGGGCAGAAGTCATATGGAAATTCTGTGCTTTCTGCTATAAACCTAAAACTAAAACTGCTCTAATGAAGTCTATGAAAAAGAAAATGTAGACTACAGGCTACATCAGTAATAATTATTAATTAATCATTTTGCAATTAAAAAAAGATAATCTTTTCCTAACAAAGTAAATACCATGCCCTCTAAGAGAGCTATTGAATGTTTAGCACTTAACACAAGTGATCAAAACTAATTAGAACTTGCTTTTGAAATCTTAAAGGGGGAAGGAATGTTCAAAATAAGATAAACTGTTCTCTCAATCCTGAAAGCTTCCCAAAGTACAATTACAAAATTTAATCTTTTCACTAACATGATCACTTCCTCCTAAAATACTTGAATGCCATCTGAATGTGTTAATCTAAAGTGCTAACCCAGTGAGACTTCACAGGCCAGAGGAAAAAAGAATCCTAACTATTTTCTTTTCTCTAAGAACACTTATCCTTCAATAATATTTATAGTTCCCTGGCAATTCACATTACCCTCAATTTAACTGAACTAGTGGTATCTGACACCTAACCTCTAAGAAATAAAGGGAGAATTCTTAAAAGACAAAGGGTAACTGGGGCATGGTGGCTCATGCCTGTAATCCCAGCATTTTGGGAAGCAGGATTGCTTCAGGCTAAGAGTTCTTAAGACCGGCCTGGGCAGCACAGGGAGACTAACTGTCTCTACAAAAAATTTTTTTAAGAATTAGCCAGGTATGTTGGTACACACCTGTAGTTCTAGCTACTCGGGAGGCTGAGGTGAGAAGATCTCGAGCCTGGGGCTACAGTGAGCTATGATCATGCCCCTGAACTCTAGCCCTGGGCCAGAGACCTAGACCCTGTCTCTTACGAAAAAAGAAAAAAAGAGGACAAAAGACAGAAACAATAACTGCAAATTACTGCACTAATGTGTAATAAAGTGTTGACTCAAGGAATGTTTATTCTCATAGAATGTCTCCACTGACTGCTGAAACCAAGATACCTAATAATGGCTAAATGTAACTGCAAGCAGCTCTGCTGGGGCCAGTATAATTTACTATTTTTAGGAGTAAGATTTTTAACCCCAAAACCATGTAAACTAATGTGCCATTCTCAAAAACTCAAATTGCTCTTAAAAAACACACAAAATGGAAGTGAACTGTCTACAGCATGTAGGCTACTTCATTATAAGATTGTGATGGCTATACAATTATGGCTAAGTATCCACGAATCAATTTCTGTTTTCACTTTGTAGGCCCATGGTATTTCCAGTGTGCACTGCCTAGTCCCTTAGTAAAGAACATTTCTCCCAACTCCAAAAATATGGTTTAAAAAAATGTGTACAGGGCCAGGCACAGTAGCCTCACACCTGTAATCCCAGCACTTTGGGAGGCTGAGGTGGGTGGATCCCAAGCTCAGGAGTTCGAGGCCAGCCTGACCAACATGGTGAAACCCCAGCTCTACTAAAAATAACAAAAATTAGCCAGGTGTGGTGCCGGGCACCTGTAATCCCAGCTACTTGGGAGGCAAGAGAATCACTTGAACCCGGGAGGCAGAGGTTGCAGTGAACCAAGATGGCACTGTGGCACTCCAGCCTGGGAAACGAGAGAGAGACTGTCTCAAAAAATAAAAAAATGTATACAATTCATTTTATGTTTCCCCAACCCCCCGGCCCTTCTCCCATTAATCCCTCAAAAAAGATTTTTAACTTGACTATCATTACCTTTGCCATAACCTCAGGATCAGGATCTTCTATAGGATCAGCCCATTCAACAGTTCCAACATTCCCCCAGACCTTGACTTTACCACTCATTAACCTACGCCTTGCCTGGGCAGCTGTTTTGTGATCTTCATATTCAAGAAAGCAAAAGCCTCTGTTTTTTTTCTTGTCATCCGGTTGGTGGTATAAAATGACGTCTGTAAGACCCTCTGCAAGTAAGCAACCATTCCAGGGAAATTAGACAAAATAACTAGCAAATATAACTGGATCAAAGGATTTATCTAATATACTACTTAAATATCAAAATGAAAAGTCATCTCTTTTCTTCACTAGACAGCTTTATAAAAGACTATCAAAAACTAGGTCCAGATTATTTTCCTAATCTGTTTCCGATTTTTTTAACACAGAAATCTCCAGAAAAGAACATTTGTTCTTTTAATTAGACCTAAGGACTGTTTTTGCTTTCACTAATTAAATCAGAGCGGCAGATAAAAAATCTTCATATAACTGTTGTAAGAAAACAGCAGTATAGATCAAACATGGCTATTTTTTTTTATTATGCAAACACTTAAATTCTTTTTAATGGCACTTTGCTGGTCTTAGATATCAATGGCTTTATTTCAAATAAAATAGAAGTTATAAGTACTGCATAAAAATTTCCAGTGTCCTGAAGGTTGATAACAGGCTGATAATTTGTTAGACCCTGCTGGCAGACCAAAATATTTTCTAATAAAAGCAACCTGTCATTTAAAAGTTATTATAAAAGACATTTTACAGTTCAAAAAAATTTTTATCATGTTGACAATATATAAACTCTGTTTATGGGCCAGGTGCGGTGGCTCACGCCTGTAATCGCAACACTCTGGGGGGCCGAGGTGAGCAGATCACTGGAGGTCAGGAGTTCAAGACCAGCCTGGCCAATATGGTGAAACCCCACCTCTACAAAAAATACAAAAATCAGCCAGGTGTGGTGGTGCGCGCCTGTAATCCCAGCTACTCAGGAGGCTGAGGCAGGAGAACTGCTTGAACCTGGGAGGTAGAGGCTTCAGGGAGCCAAGATCACACCACCACACTCCAGCCTGGGCGACAAAGCAAGACTGTCTCAAAAAAACAACTCTGCTATGGCAATACTTATTATTCCTGTAATTTGAAGAAAATCAATCATTATTCACACAATTCCACTAAGAACATCAACTAACACCTAGAGAAAGAACACACAAAGAAATACAATCTTCCAAAACATGGAAAGAACAATGATTTTGCAGAATGAATTCAAATCCTAGCTGTATTCTCTACTAACTTGTATAACATTTGGCGAGTTATTTCCAAAATCCCCGAATGCCTGTTTTTCTAATCTGAAAAATGGGGTTACCTACATTTTATAAAGTTGTAGTGAGGATTTGATGAGTCAATAATTGTATTTAGAACAATGCCTAACACACAGAAATATGCTATTATCTTCATTATTAAAAGCTGCACCTCATTCCAAATAAATCCAACTTACCTGTTACTTTGCTAAATTCTTCAAGAATCTGTTCCTTGGTTTTACTCTTAGGAATAGAGCCCACAAAAAGCCTATTGTTGGCAACCGAGATGCAGACACCAATGTGTTTTCCAGAACGAATTTCATGATTATTATACTGAAAAGATAAAAAGTGCATCATGTTTTAAATTACTTATAATATACAACTAGAAGAGTTTATTGTAAAAGATACACAAGAGCAAATCATCCTTTAAAAACTAGTTTACCTTAATTCCCATACAAAGGAATTATGAGAAACAGATTATATTAACAAGACCCATTGGACAAGTTTATGAACCAATTTAATGCAAATAAAAGGTTATTAAATCCTTTACTTGATTAATTAGAAATAAGATCTGCAGCAGCTTATTTAAATTCAAAAAGTGCCAGTTCCTCAAAAACTTAACTTTTACTTAAATTCATCCCGTCAACCAGTTACTCTCACACAAGGAAAACTGATCCCAAGATCAGCAAGATCTCTGCCTTTCTGTTAACCAGCACCTAAATCTATTTTTCCATCTTCCCTTCCTCTTATCAAAAGTTGCAATAAGAAATTTTGGGCTTCAAATATTTAAGTCTAAAAAGACAGCTTTATTTCTGAATCCAACTGTACTTTTTCCCCATTTCACTTTCATTATGCATATAACAAAGTTATGAAGGAGAAAGAAAAGTAGATTGGTCACAGCAAAAGGATATAGAAACAACTTTAAAATGACAGTAAAAAGTGAATTTAATTTTCAAGTAACCATATCCCAGATTACCATAAAGCAGAGGCAAAAAGCAATGTGTTAAAATGACAAATCAACCAATTAGTATTATTTACAAACCCAAGTTCAAAAGTATCTAAGTAATCTAGAAAAGTGGATTATACGGGTTAAAATTACCACCTCAAAATTTATGTTACTAATAATGGTGGCAGCAGCGGCAAAAATTATTGATGAATCCTACCACACCTAACCTCAAAATCTATTCTACATGTGGAGCTACACAAACTAAAGAACCAACATCAATTTCCATACAACTTTATAGAACCACCTTATAGCAAAAGAAACCATTCTTCTATTATGCCCATTCTTGCTAGGTACAGCAGGTATAACAGAAGAAAACATGTAATTCAGAAAGTTGAGTCCTCCCTGTCCCTTTCTCCATCTTGTCAAAATTTAATAAGGTTCAAACACCATACCTCTAGTTCAGAAAAATGTATTGTTTTCTACCCCACTATTCTGTACAGGCTATTCAAGTGCGTGGCCATCCTGATCCCAGGTTTATCTCCATTTCTCTACATTTATGCCAGAGGCACAAGGTTAAAAAAATTAGAAAGATGACTCCTGTTACTTCTCCTTTCTCTCTCAAATACCTTTTTATATTAACTTTTAAACACGCGGGGTTTTTTTGTGTGTGTGTTTCCCGAGACAGAGTCTTGCTCTGCCGCCCAGCCTGGAGTGCAGTGGCACTATCCTGGCTCACTGCAACCTCTGCCTTCTGGGTTCAAGCAATTCTCCTCCCTCTGCCTCCCGAGTATAGCTGGGATTACAGGCACTTGCCACCACACCCAGCTATTTTTTGTATTTTTAGTAGAGACAAGGTTTTACCATGTTGGCCAGGCTGGTCTCTGAACTCCTGATCTTGTGATCCACCCGCATCGGCCTCCCAAAGTGCTGGGATTACAGGTGTGACCCACCACGCCAGGCCACATGCAGTTTTTATACTCCTATGGCTCTGAAGATATTGCCTTCCTTCCCTGAAACTTTTACCACACAAACTCCTCTGGATACTTGTAAATTGAGTTCAACCACCCAATACTTCAATCCATAAATCCTAAAAGGGTCAACAAAATACTCCTCCATGTTAACACAGACCAACAGTTCTCAACAGAAGTGATTTTGCCCCCCAGAAGTCATTTGACATTCTTGATTGTCACAACTTGGAAAGATGCGGGGACTTGCTGCTAGTATCTAGTGGGTAGACAGAAGGATGCTGATAAACATCTTACAACTCAGAAGACAGGCTGTCACAAATAATTATCTAGTCTAAAAGATCAGCAGTGCTGAGGTTGAAAACTCCTGCCACATACTTGTTTTCTCACATAGCATTCATGTCTTTCTCTTCTATCAGACTAATAATCTTTAACGCCGAAATATGTTACCTGAATGTAGCAGAGCTATGGTTGAATCCATCATTGCACAGAATTACGGACAAGTAGATTATAATGCCTTATTTTACAAATAAAATTAAACTAAGAACACAATAAATTACTTTAAAATATGTGCATTCCCTAGATTCTTATAATTTAACATCAAGCAGCCAGCCTTAGCAACAAATCAGTGGTTTTCAAATTGGTCATCCAATCACTAATTCTAGTAATTCACAAAAACAATTAAAATATCAGGAAAAGGTGGAAAGAAATACCAAGTGTGTAAAGGCGAAAACAGGAGTAATTCTGGGGATGACGGATTTTGGTATAATGAGGGAGGAACTGGTATTTTCCAAACGCTCTAAAAACAGGAGCTATTAACTATAAGAAAATACCTAATACTAAAAAACTTCCAACAAAAACTTGAATTCTTAGTTCTACCAAGAAAATACACCATTAAGAGGAACCAAAATCCTTGTAAGAAATCTAGGAGGCAAAGGCAAAACAAAAGACAATGGAAACATTCCATCAAGGCAACCATCAAAGAAATATAGAGAAGACAGCTAATCTGTAACATAGGCAACACTTCCATTAACCATCAACATTAACAATGTTGCTTCAAATTATTAATGACCGTTTCCATTATTATCTACAGAAAGACCATTTTTTTCTTTCCTACCCATCATCACTAACCCTGATGCTAATCAAGTTAGCCAAGGCATGGTAGGTAGAAAGTACAAAGGATGGATATGGTCTCTGAACAACATAAATAACACAAAGATTTAGCAGGATTTATAAAATAAACTGCTGATTCCTCCCTACCCCCATTTTTTCAATTAAAAAAACTTGGGCGGGGCACGGTGGCTCATGCCTGTACTCCTAGCACTTTTGGGAGGCCGAGGCAGGCAAATTGCCCAAGCTCAGTAGTTCAAGATCAGCCTGGGCAACACAGTGAAACCCCGTCTCTACTAAAATAAAGAAGAAATTAGCCGGGAGTGGTGGCAGGCACCTGTAATCCCAGCTACTCGGGAGGCTGAGGCAGGAGAATCGCTTGAACCTGGGCGGCAGGAGATCGTGCCACTGCACTCCAGCCTGGGCGACAGAGCAAGACTCCGTCTCTACAAAAAAAAAAAAAAAAAAAAAAAAAACTTGGAACAATTATACTATTATAGGTAACACAGAGAGTAAATTGGCTCTCCAATGAAAGTAAGTCATTAAACGAATAAAGTAAGGAGACTCTATGGGTATATTGTCCAACTATAACAGAAGTAGGACCTAGAAATTAACATTTCCTAAAGCAACGCCCCATCTATGGATTCCGCATGCTTTTTTTGTACATATACTTGAATTGCTTAACCTTTCTTACGCTAATGACACTCTATCACCCTAAAAACAAAAACAAAAAAAACCACTTATCCCAGCAAGATGGGTAACAGTGAGTTAGATGGTGAAGGGGGCAATACAAAAAACAAATGTGAATAAGAGATTCTAATTTAATACTAGTAAACCCTAATTCAAGAGGTAAATGTATCAGGTCACTACAGTGGTATAAAAACATGAGCACAGAAAAAAAAAAAAAGTCTCATCTTTCCTACTCTAGAAAGGTTGGCCCTGGATCTTAAGTTAATTGTGAAAATCTAGCTTTCAAGCTCAATACCACAGTGAGATGAAGCAAACAGAAAATGAAGATTAATTATGATCATGAATCAATGTGAGGCTTCAGTTTTTAAGAACACCAAAACAGTAGTACAGTCTGGAACATCCCTGTCATCAAGCCTCAAAATTTTAAATCACTTTTAAGTCCTTCCTTCGTAATCACCAAATTCTCAGAAATTCAGCAATGTCAAATTTGGAATCTGATCCAGAAGAGGCTGCTTAGTCCTAACTCTTCTCAGCAAAGTCACTACCTCCAAAGCCATCCACATTAAAGTTTTTTTTTTTTTTTTGAGACTGAGTCTCGCTCTGACACCCAGGATGGAGTGCACTGACGCGATTTCAGCTCACTGCGGCCTCCACCTCCCCGGTTCAAGTGATTCTCCTGCCTCAGCCTCCCTAATAGCTGGGACCACAGGCGTGCGCCACCACACCCTGCTAATTTTTGTATTTTCAGTAGAGACAGGGTTTCACAACATTGGCCAGGCTGGTCTCGAACTCCTGACCTCGGGTGATCTGCCCGCCTCAGCCTCCCAAAATGCTGGGAGCTGGGATCACAGGCATGATCCACCGTACCCGGCCTAAAGATTTCTTAATTATAAAGCCTTCTTCACAATGAGCCAAAATCTACTTCCTTAAATAAACCTATTTATTTCCCCCAAATGACAGCATTTCATATACCTGGCACACATGCACATGACTCAGCTGTTCCCTATGCTTGGCTAATCACTGCTTCCCTGATACCTCCAAGAAATACTGACAAGTGTCACTATAGAGTGACACTCTAACACAATATTGTCAGTGCAGACTGAAACAGGACTCTAGAATAAACTGGAGCTTATTACTAATTTTCCACTTCTAGACACCATACCACTCTTACATATTGTCTGTTACCCTAGCTTATTTGGCAACCACACATTACTGACATCACAGCTTACTTGTTAAACTAGTGTAAATACTTGACTTTAGTCAATTCCATCTTGATAGATACTAAGTTTCTTTTTCAGGCTATCAAGATTTTTTCAGATCCTGACCATCATCCAAGGCATTAATTACTGCATGCAGATTCAAGTTACCAAACATACCATAAGCAGTCCAACTACACTTTCAATTGTTGATAAAAACTAGAATACAACCTAGAGCATACCACTATAGCCTTTCTCTTTCCAAAATCTCCCACCTTTCTCCTTTCTCTTGCTGCCACCCTCCTCCTGGCCTTTGTTCTCTTTATTCAAATAATCTTTATTATTCAGCCATTTACATCATGCCACCCACACCAGGGCTCAAAAAGGGGGTGAGGGGTGCTATGCAGCTTAGTATGAACTAACTGC